AATATTCTTTTGTATTCAAATAATTTACTAAAGCAAAATGCGACATGCATAATTGTTTGAAAAAATAATGTATTTGCAATTTTGGACGCATTGTGTTATTTATTAAATTAAATTATATAATTTCATCTGCCAAAATATATTGTATCTTATATTGTTTTAATTTCTGGTACATTTCAGCTGCTTTTCGGCAATAATATTGTAGATATTACATTTTTCTTATTCATAATCATGAATATGGATATTATATACTAATATTGTCTAGGCTCGCTTAAACTAAATTCAAATTTTAAAGTGAATCGACATTTCTGGCAGATGACAGATCTCATGTATCAAAATGTTTTCAATAATATGTTGTTTTTTCATTTTTTTCTATTTATTTCTACATATTACTATACATATTTTTATAATCACATACATCCTAAAAAAATCCCTTAACAAACTTCACAAAGGTTTATCAAAATCCGAATAATCGTTTAGGAGGAGTATATTTACATACATCATTACAGAAAAAAAATTATATATAAGATTTACTTATTATTTTATAAATTTTAAATAGATATTATTAACTTCCCGTAGGGTAAGTTATTGTAATGGGCCGAAAATCGGAATTGAAAATTTTTACATTTCTCGACGTTTTGAAGGTTTCTGAACGTTTTGGCATACCTCAGAAAAAATGGATGTGTGTGTGTGTGTGTGTGTGTGTATGTATGTATGGATACAAATTTCCAGTCACGTTTTAGGGCGCACGGATCAACCGATTTTGAATGGTTCAAAAAACATTCGATTCCTATTGATAGGGAAAAGAGCTGATTTGTTTTTGGCAAAGGCAGGTCCAGCCGTTTCGGAGATACGGAGCAAAGAGTGCAGAAAATAGAAATCGAATTTTTGAGAGAACGGAGTATCCAATTTGAATCATCTAAAAAACATTCAATTAGTAATGATTGGGAGAAGTGTTTATCAGTTTTTGGCAAAGGCAGGCCCAGCCATTTTGAAGATATGGAGCTAAATATGTAAAAAATGGCAGTTTTTGAGAGAACTAAGCGTCCGATTTAAATGATTCAAAGAACTTTCTGCTTGTCTTAACAAAATAATTGATTTTGGAAAAAAAAATTTGTTCCAACTTTTTTTTTTTTTTTTAGTTTTTTGTATATCGAAAATATTTCAGATTTTATTTTTAATTCTGACTATTAGTTCTAATATACTTTATAAATAACTTCAACTCTGCAATTCAGTTTATATAATTCTTATAAATATTAGACAATGTTACAATATTTATAATAATCTATTTTAACATTTCGTTACGGTACGGGAAGTTCCAGCAATTTGCCTTAAGGCACGATGCCATAATTGCCTCAAGACAGAATTCCACTTACAGCTAGTTTTAGTATTATATTTTGTAATCTACTGAAGAAGAGTCAAATTGAAACTCGTATGAAATTAAAATTAAATTATTTATAACCACGTTTTATTTTTAATAACTGCATGAATATCTGTTAAAGTTTTTTTTGTCTTCCACCATCTAAAGCAGTGATTCCCAAAGTGGACGCTACTGCCACTTGGAGTCGATGTACCGCACCAGAGAGGCAGTGATAGGTACAGATAAATTTGGGGGAATAAGATTACCTATAGGAGGCCGTAAAAGCATAAACTAAAAATCTGCTTTATTTTCGATATACACAAAAAAAAATTGAAAAAAAAATTGATAAAAAATTATTTTGAAACATTTTTTTTTTCAAAATCAATTATTTTGTTAAAACAAGCAGAAAGTTCTTTGAATCATTTAAATCGGACGCTTAGTTCTCTCAAAAACTGCCATTTTTTTTAACATTTAACTCTGTATCTTCAAAATACACCGCTGGGCCTACCTTTGCCAAAAACTGTTTGTTAGATCATTCAAATCGGATACACCGATCTCTCACAAAAACTCGATTTCTATTTTCTGCACTCTTTGCTCCGTGTCTCCGAAACTGCTGGACCAGCCTTAGCCAAAACAAATCAGCACATCTCCTTTTCAATAGAAATCGAATGCTTTTTGAACCATTCAAATCGATTGATCTGTGCGCCCGAAAACGTGACTGAAAAATGAGGTATGCCAAAATGTTCAGAAACCTTCAAAACGACGAGAAATGTAAAAATTTTCAATTTCGATTTTTGGACGATTACAATAACTTACACTACGGGAAGTTAATAATTAGAATTGTATCCATACATAAACATACATAGGCACACACACATATTTTTTTCTAAAGTAAGCCAAAATGTTCAGAAACCTCTGAATTGTAGAAATATGCAACAAAATATTATTTTCGGTTTTTGGACGATTACTGTAACTAACCCTACGGGAAGTTAATGAACACAAAAACACACACATACATAAATAAGATATAATTTCTCAGAGATGTGCAATTGAATACATTGTAACTTCAAATGTTTATGAAATCCATCCTCTGCAATTATTCATATTTACATTTAATTAAATGCAAAAACTGGTTCAGATCCATTATACATTACTCGCGTAGAATAGAGTGTGATATTGCAAAAGTAATTCCCACTGTTCGTACAGCACCGGGCATGTTAACGAAACAATCTGTCAAGTAACTTACGTTTATAGACTCTTGTACTTGTAAGTCTATATTTAACGGCATTTTCAAACTAGTGGTACATGGCATCGTGCCTTAAGGCAAGTTGCTGAAACTACCCGGACGGAAAATTAAAATTTTTAACTAGTGGTGTGTGGCATCGTGCCTTAAGGCAAATTGCTGGAACTTCCCGTACAGTAATGAAATATTCGATAAATTTTAAACGTTTTCAAATATATTATTACAAATACTGTAACTTTCATTATTTTTGCTAACTTGTTATATCTGAGCAAATCAAATGTAAATCATAAATCAATTTATCTCCATAACATTAACAATCGTAGCTTGGCGGCATTTTCACATTTTTCAATAGTTTTCACAAAACTGGAAAAGTGCTCCAGTACATAAACAGTATAAACGCACTTGGGTAAACATTTGTACCAGAGTGGCGCTTAGACTGTGCTTAGCATGCGTCATTTTTTGAATTTTCAATCCAAAATTACAAAAATATTTTATGGAAAATAAAAAAAAGATGAAATAATTTTTCATTCTCAAAAGCAATTGTTTTGTCAATACAAGCAGAAAGTTTTTTTAGATCATTCAAATCGGACGCTTAGTTCACTCAAAAACTGCCATTTTTTGCACATTTAGCTCTGTATCTTCGAAATGGCGGGACCTGTCTTTGCCAAAAACTAATCTCCCTACCAATAGGAATCGAATGTTTTTAAACCATTCAAATTGATTGATCCGTGCGCCCGAAAACGTGGACGAAAATACGCGGACATACAAAACACACACACGCACACACACACACATCAATTTTTTCTGAGGTATGCCAAAATGTTCAGAAACCTTCAAAACGTCGAGAAATGCAAAAAATTTCATTTTCGATTATCGGCCCATTACTATAACTACCCTACGGGAAGTTACTAGTGGTGTGTGGCATCGTGCCTTAAGGCAAATTACTGTAACTTTCCTTACCAAAAACTTAATCATATAAAAAAGATCATTTTTTTTTAACTTGAAGAAATTTGATTTTTGAGAATTTGGAAATTTTTGAACAAAATTGTCTTTTTTGCAAAGCGATCGCACTGCTTTAGCTGCATAGAGACGAAATATCAAAGCGCGTAAGCGCCGCTTCGTAGTCTAACGAAGGAACAATGTTACAGAACTCATAGAAATGTAAATAAAATTTATACATATTAATAAAATTTCTTTAAAATATCTGATAATTTGATGTGCATATGTATAATGATCATTTTTGACCGTCAAATGGCTTTTTTTTTACTTTTTTTACTAGATCTCCGAAGCCGCTAGACCTGCAATGAAAATTTGATCAGTTCTTCATCTTGTTAATACAAGTAAAATATTTTTTGAATTATTAAAATCGGACGCTCCGTTTTCTTAAAAACTGAGTTACCGCTTTTGGCACTTTTCCCCCCTTACCTTCGAAACGGCTGGTCCTGCCTTGTGCAAAAACTAATCAGCACGTATCCTTATCAATAGGAATCGAATTTTTGTTGAATGATTCAAATCGGTCGATCCGTGTTCGCGAAATCGTCGACGAAAAATTATATGTGCACATACATACACACACAAACAAAAACACACACATTCATCCATTATTTCTAAGGTATGCCAAAATGTTTGGAAACCTCTGAAACGTAAAGATATATACAATTTTTTTTTTGCGATTAGCATAACTTACCCTACGGGAATACGGGTTTTCAAATTTTTTAAAATCTGAATAAATTAGATTTTTCAGAAGTTTAAAATTTGAAACATTTTTTCAAATTTTGAATTATTTTCATAATTTTGTACTTTACTTCAAATGTGTCGCGATGCGTATAAAGCTATAAACAAAGCGCGTAAGCGCCGCGTCGCAGACTAACGCATAAACATTAGTACGGAACAGAAATGTAAACAAAACTTGTACTTATTAAAATCTCTATAATATCTGATAATTTGATGTGCATATGTCTAATGATCATTTTTGTCTGCCAAATAGCAGTTTCTTACATTTTTTATAATATCTCCGAAACCGCTAGACCTGCCTTTGCAAATTTAATCAGTTGTTCACTTACATACAAATAAAACGTTTTTTGAATCATTCAACTTGAATGCTCCGTTATCTCAAACACTTAATTGCTAATTTTGGCACTTTTTGCCCCGTATTTTTGCCAAAAACTAATCAGCACGTCTCCCCATCAATACGAATCGAATGTTTTTTATTTATTCAAATCGGTTGATCCGTGTTCACGAAATCATCGACGAAAATTTGCATCTGCACATACATACACACACACATAGATCCTTATTTTCTAATGTATATCGAAATGTTAGCAAGATATTAATTTTAAATGATTGTAATGTTAGTGAGAACATATGTCAAAAATAACCTAAAACTTTTCTGTCACTAACCTCGTGTGCTTTGGGATGATTGTGACTGCATGTTCTGTGTTCAAAAACTTCACAAACAACCCTCAACGGTTGTAAATTATACACTGTCACTAAAATATATAACATAAAACAATTATGGATCCAAACACACGCCATATTTGCTAAATGTCACTATAATTCAATAAAGCTCTTGAAAATGTCAAACGAGAATCTCATGCAGAAGCATAATGCGCGCGCAAACACTACCATCCCTCCGCGAAGCCAAACACATACTGCCGAGCGACGAACGACGCGGACTGTGGCGCTAGATATCTACTACAATCATATGATATTGCTATAGTTCCGTTGAAACCTGTTTCGCAAATGGCAGCATGCTTTGCTGTAAGACGTTTCTTCATTGCACGGCACGGCAATCACGGCATCGGCGCAATTAACTGATACAACATGCATACAATTGCTACGTACTAGAAATTGCTGAAACTTCCCGATTTATAGAACAATACTAGCATCTTGTTGCATTGTACCTTAAGACAAATTGTTGAAACATAACGATTTCTTTATAACTATTATGTAAAATTTGTAACTGCAAACAAACAAAAAAACTAGTTGTGTATGGCATTGCTGGATCTTCCCGCACAGCAAATTTTTAACAGGCGCATAGCATCGTGCCTTAAGCCAAATTGCTGGAACTTCCCGTACCAAAAATTATTTTTTTTTTTGAAAAGATTAACAATTTTGAGAAAATTTTACTTCGAAAAAATTAGATTTTTGAGAAACTATAAATTTGACAAAAAATTACTTTTTTTTGAAAAAAAAAAATTATTGAAAAAAAAACTTTGGCATATTTTGGAAATTCTAAACTTTTCTTCAAAGCAATCGTATACTGCTTTAACTGCATAGAGACGAAATGTCAAAGCGCGTAAGCTCCGCGTCGCCGTCTAACGGATAAACATTGGTACGGAACTCATAGGAATGTAAACAAAATTTATACTTATTGTTAAAATCTCTATAAAATATCTGGTAATTTGATGTGCATTTGTTTAATGATCATTTTTGACCGCCAAATGGCTTTTTTTCCTTTTTTATTAGATCTCCGAAACCGCTAGACCTGCCTTCGTGAAAATTAGATCAATTTTCATCTTGTCAATACAAGTAAAATGTTTTTTTGAATTATTAAAATCGGACGCTCCGTTCTCTTAAAAATTGAGTTACCATTTTTGGCACTTTTTGCCCCATATCTTCGGAACGGCTAGACCTGCCTTTGCCAAAAACTAATCAACACGTCTCCTTATCAATACGAATCGAATGTTTCTTGAATTATTTAAATCACTTAATAGGTGTTCCCGAAATCGTCGACGAAAATTTGTATCCGCGCACATACACACACGCACATACACACAAACACACACAAATATACATCCATTTTTTCTAAACCTTTGAAACGTAAAGATATATAAAAATTTTCATTTTCGATTTTTTTGCAATTCCTATAACTTGCCCTACGGGAAGTTAAAAAAACTAGTTGTGCATGGCATTGCTGAATCTTCCCGCACAGCAAATTAAAAATTTTAAAAAAGCTTTAAATTTTTTTTTGAAAACTGAAAAAATTAGATTTTTGAAAATTTTGAAATTTTTGAAAAAATTGACCTGTTTTATTTGAAAGTTTTACGGAAGCAATCGTGCTGTGTTAGCTACGTAGAGACCAAATATCGAAGCGTGGAAGCGCCCCATTGCATCGAACGGATGAATACGAAAACCCATAGAAACTAGTGGGGTGCATGGCATCGTGCCTTAAGGCAAAGTGCTGGAACTTCCCGTATCGTAATTAAAAATCTTGGTACGAAACCAAAAAAAAAATTACACAAAATGTGTACACATTGATAAAATCTCTATAAAATATCTGATAATTTGATATACCTGCCTTCCCAAAAATTTAATCAGTTCTTCATCTTGTCAATACAAGTAAAATCTTTTTTGAATTATTAAAATCAGAAGCTCCGTTCTCTTAAAAACTGAGTTACCGTTTTTGGCACTTTTTACTCTGTATCTACGGAACGGCTAAACCTGCCAAAAACTAATCAGCACGTCTCCTTATCAATACGAATCGAGTGATTTTTGAAATATTCAAATCGGTTGATCGGTGTTCCCGAAATCGTCGACGAAAATTTGTATCCGCACACATACACACAAACACACACAAATATACATCCATTTTTTCTAAAGTATGACAAAATATTCAGAAACCTTTGAAACGTAAAGATATATAAAAAAATTACTTTAGATTTTTTTGCGATAACTATAACTTGACTGAATCACATAATTAAAAATATTCATTTAGTATATATGTGAGCTTTGAAACTTTAGCCAAATTAAAATTGAAATCTGAATTATTTTTGATATACAAAAAAAAAATTAATGAATTTTTTTTCGCAAAAGCAATTGTTTTGTCAACACAAGCTGAAAGTTTTATGAATCATTCAAATCGGACGCTTAGTACTCTCAAAACCATTTTTTGCACATTTAACTCTGTATCTCCAAAATCGCTGGACCTGTCTTTACTAATCACCCCTTCTCCCCGTCATTACCCATTGAATGTTTTTTGGATCATTCAAATCGGATGCTTCAATCTCTCAAAAACTCGATTTCTAATTTCTGCACTTTTTGCTCCGTATCTCCGTAACGACTGGACCTACCTTTGCCAAAAACTAATCAGCACATCTCCTTATCAACAGGAATCGAATGTTTTTTGAACCATTCAAATCCATGCGCCCGAAAACGTGACTGAATAATTGTATCCAAACATACATACACAAACAAGTCAATTTTTTTTTTTAGGTATGCCAAAATGTTCAGAAAACTTCAAAACGTCGAGAAATGTAAAAATTTTCAATTTCGATTTTTGGACGATTAACGGTTTGGTCGATCATCGCACAAAACTTATAAACGCTAGTCCTTATCGAGTTACATCGAATGGCTTTTAAGTTTTTGAAATCAGTTCAGTTTTTGGGAAGACGTCGAAGAAAGGTCAAAAATTGGCGGAGATACACAAATACTTTTCCAAACTTAGTCTCGTTTGATTCAGAATGGCTTAAAATGTCGAGAAAGCATAAAATTAGCAAATCGGATTTTTGGACGAAAACAAACTTTTTCTTAATGAAATTAAAAATGTCGAGGGCAGTGTTAGTGAACAATAAGAATGAAAAATCTTGGTATGGAACCCAAAAATTAAAAACAAAATTTCTACTCATTATCAAAATAACTATGAAATATCTGATAATTTTAATCAAAATTTTTGACCGCCAAATGGCATTTTTTTAACTTGTTTATTAACGATTTCCTCCATCCAATATTACAAATGAAATGTTTTTTTAACTATTCAAATCCGATACTCCGTTCTCTAATAAACCGAATTTCCATTTCTGCACTTTTTGTTTTTACCAAAAACTAATCAGCTCGTCTTCCCGTCAATACAATTCGAATGTTTTTTCACTCTTCTTATCAATTCTTATCGGTTGATCCGTGCTTCCAAAATCGTGAGCAAAAAATTGTATCCAAACATACACACAATCCTACTACTTGCATATGCACATACAACAATTTTTTCTAAGTTATGTCAAAATATTCAGAAGTCTCTGAAACGTAAAGATACAAAAAAAATATTTTCGATTACTATAACTTACCTTACTACGGAAAGTAATAAAAAGATCAAGAGGTTGGAGATAATATCTAATTTCGGGTACGGTCTTTCCATACAGAGTCGTTTCTTATACAATTTTACGCCATTTTCGATACATTCAAAATACCAATTTTGAACTCTCTACCTCATCATTTGTCAGTATATCATGGAAAATATGTACTCAAAAGTCGCCTCTTTATACAAACTAATTTTTTGTCGTAGCAGTAAAAGAAATCGAAAAACGACAGAAGTAGTTGAAATCGCAGTGCTTAGGTTTGTATTATTTATAACAAATAATATTGAATAATTGTTTATTGAGTGCGGTTGTTTTGTCGAATTTTTAATTATCACAGTATAGGCGAGACAGGTAAAAATGCTGATTTCGAGGCCTGGTACTTATTAGCGGGCCGAGTAATTTTACATCTTTAAATGTGACTAAAATCGGGTTACACATATTGAAAAAATTAGCCGGTATTTGTTGTTTAGATTTAGTTTATATTAGTATTATAGTATTTAGCATAGTCAGTATTATGACAATTAGCAATATGTAAAGTTATGACATTTTTAAAACGACTTGAAATTTTAATTTCTAATATTTTAAAACTTTAGAGAAAATTGTTGTATACATCTATTTTATTAAATGTTGATTAAAACTTGTTAGAACAATTTTCTTGTAACATATTTAGCAATGTATGAATTTTGGCCTCATTTTTTATATATATCATTAAAAACTACTAAACTTTACTAAAATCTAGTATAACCTGTTATTTACACTCGTATAATTTTTTTTATGGAAAATAGATAGTTTTGGAACATTTTTTAATTTTCTTCAAATAACTTTTAATTTTCATTTCTAAAATTATAATTTGATTATATTAGTAAAAACTAGATGAATTTTACTAAAACCTACTATAACCTGTTCTTTACACTTGGATAGCAATATTTTGAACAATTTGTAGTTAGAATGCGGATTTTAGTATCTTGATAATTTGTACTAAACCGACTTGAGAACTTGTTTACATTTTTTTTTTCAAATAACTGTTAATTTTAATTTCGAACACTATAATTTATTAGTACATATTAGAAAAAATATTGCACTTGAATATTTAATTTTGAATAATTCACAACTGAAATGCGGACACTTAGAACATTTTT